GTTTGGCTGGAAATTGGAGTTTGTAGACGGGGAGGAGTTCAGTGCGGTGAAAGGGAGGGAGTTGGGTGGGAGTTGGAGAAGAGGTTGGAGTTTGTAGATGGGTAGGAGTTCAGTGCGGTGAAAAGGAGGGAGTTTTGTTGGAAATGTTGGAGTTCGTAGACAGGGAGGAGTTCAGTGCGGTGAAAGGGTGGGATTTTGGTTGGAAATTGGAGTTTGTAGAGGGGGAGGAGTTCAGTGCGGTGAAAGGGAGGAAGTTGGGTGGTCAAAATTCGACGCCCAGGAAACACGACTCTCATTTGAGAGTCGCGTTTTCAGGAACCCTACCTAGCCTAGCCCAACTTTAGGATGTCCACTAGTAGGTGGTGGGTAGTATTACCCGCTTTTCAGGGTCACCGGGTCGGGTATACCCGGACCCGCCAGGCGGGTATTGTATTACCCGCCCCTTAAGGCCGGGTCCGGGTAAGGGTCCTGGGCATATTACCCGACCCGGACCCGACCCAAAATTACCCGACCCAAGGTCGGGTATTGCCAAACCGGGTCGGGTCGGGTAATTACCCGGTTTTGCTCAAGCCTAACCCGACCCGACCTGACCCGGCATCGGGTTTCCTTAAACCCGACCCTTCAAACCCCGGTCGGGTTAACTATCCCGGACCTAAAACCCGACTTGACCCGACCCGACCCGACTCGCACCCGACTTCGGGTGGGGCAAAGTCGGGTCAGGTCGGGTCGGGTCTATGCTCAAGCCTGCTGCCAGGTGAGATGATGACCCGCCAGGTGAGATGCTAAGTGGGAAAATTCGCGCTCCGCGTAAATTCGCCCATACGCCAGGGCCCCATTTTAAATTCACTGGGAAATTCGTTCGGCCCGGGCAGAAGAAATTGCCCAGGAAGGCAAAAAAATTGGTTCGCGGGTAGGGTGGGCGTGGGGGGGTGCCAGGGCAACACTTTTTAAGCAAGGACGTTTTAGCAAGGATTAAATATTGCTTTTCAAAAATCGGCCTGATACATCGCCTGCCACGTCCTCACTAGTGCTGTGATATGGGAGGTTCGACATTGCAACTCGCATTCTCGTGAGGTAAGCTAGAGTCTGTGCTTAAACTTGATCGACTAGCTAAGACGCGGAGGGATAAGGTTGGCGCTACCTCTGGTAGAGTAGCGTGAGCTGCGTGATAGGGTTGCGTAAGTTGTGTGGTAGATGGGTTTGGTTTTCTAGATGCGGTGGGGTTTGATGCGGTTGGGAACTTGGGAGGGGTTGGAAGCATGTTTTGGGGGTCAAAAGTTGGAATCGCAAATTCGCGAGGCAATGGTAGGCATGAGCAATGAGGCGAGGATTTCCTCGCCTCCAAATTTCGGGGGTCGAGGCAGGATTTCAGGGGAAAATCCTCACGAGGAATCCTCGACCCGGCCCGGCTAGGGCACGAGGATAAGATCCTCGGGTCAAGGAATCCTCGCCTCGCCCCGTGCTCATGCCTAGGCCACGTGCTCATGCCTAGGCCACGGATGGCTTCGCCGTGTCGTTGGGAATCACGGTAAAAGAATTCGTGTTTTTTTGTCCGGGCTGCCCCGTAAATTTTCCCCCAGCGTTCCACGAATTTCAGGTCAATTCGCAAACGCGAATTTACGCTTACGAATTTACGCAAAACGCTGGGGGACCCCAGCGAATTTTCTCACTTAGGTGAGATGATGACCTGCCAGGTGAGATGACCCGCCAGGTGAGATGATGACCCGCCAGGTGAGATGACCCGCCAGTAGACATGGGCATGAGCCGAGCCTGGCTCGGCTCGGCTCGTCCAGGGGTCGAGCCGAGCCGGCTCGCCGTCGAGCCTGGCTCGGCTCGAGTCGAGCCGGGCACCAAACATGCCTGGCTCGGCTCACATTTCTGTGGGCGAGCCAAGGCTGGCTCGACGGCGAGCTGGCTCGGCTCGGCTCGCCTAGCATGCACTTAAGCCAACAGTAGTGTGGGTGGAGCCTATGCAAGCGCGCGTTGTTAAGAGTGGCGCGGGCTGCTTAAGATTTCTCACGCGTACTAACCTAATGAGATACTCCTAGGCGCGCAGAATTCTAGGGATCGCGGAATTGACGGGAAGTGGATTGTGAGGAGGAAGGAGGGTGTAAAAGGTTAGGTTGGAAGTTGTAGATGCAAAAGTGTGCAGTGCGGTTGAGCGGGTAAAAGGGTTGGATGTGTTTTTGGTCATCAAAGTTTGGGGTTGCAACTGGTTGAATTCGCGAGGTCGCAATGTCGCGGGAAAGAATTTCGCGTCAAACATTTTGGGCTGGCGTTTAGCGTTTACCCTTAAACGCAGCGCTTAAACGATAAACGCTGCACCGCCAGAGGGATTGCGGAACATAGAGTAGGATTTGTTGGTGGGAGAGAGAAATGGGAGACACGTTTTGTCGAGGGGAAAATTTTACCCTTGAAATCGAGTGGCGAGCCACCTGGCTCGAAATCGAGCCGGGGACGAGCCGGCTCGACCCCGGCTCGACGAGGACATTGTGTACGAGCCGAATCGAGCCGGCTGGCTCGACCGAGTCGAGCCGGCTCGGCTCGAGTCGAGCCGGATCCCAAAAAGAATGGCGAGCCGAGCCGAGCCGAGGCGGATGTGGCTCGGCTTGTGCCCATGTCTACCCGCCAGGTGAGATGATGACCCGCCAGGTGAGATGACCCGCCAGGTGAGACGATGACCCGCCAGATGAGATGATGTCCCGCCAGGTGAGATGACCCTCCAGGTGAGATGATGACCCGCCAGGTGAGATGATGACCCGCCAGGTGAGATGGCCTGCCAGTTGAGATGATGACCCGCCAGGTGAGATGACGCGCCAGGTGAGAAGGTTCAAAAATACGGTTTCCGAAAAATACAGTCCGTTTTATACTAGACATGGGCACAAGCCGAGCCACACCTGGCTCGGCTCGGCTCGGCTCGCCTTTAAGGCGAGCCGAGCCTTCTTTTTTGGTACCCGGCTCGACTCGAGCCGGCGGCTCGGCTCGGCTCGCGCACGTGAAATCAAGCGAGCCGGAGTCGAGCCGGCTCGAGCTGGCTCGATTTCGAGCCAGCCGGCTCGCGGCTAGGGAAAGGGGGGTTTCGCGACTGTCAAATTTCAGATCGACAACCCCCCCCAGCCAATATTGTCTGCCAACCCTAACCTCAAGCTGTCGCGCTAGTCTATCGACCTCAGCCAGCCATATTTAAACCGGCAGCTCCTCCTGATAGTTTTGTAAGATGTAGGAGCAGACGATCAGCTAAATAATATGGATTGTCCCCTATACTAGAGACCCCAAACCCCGTGGCCCCAATTGAGAGCCCGCACAAGCCCCCCTGACGAGCCGAGCCGGGGATCCTAAGGACCCGGCTCGAGGCGAGCCGAGCCGGCTCGACCGGCGAGCCGGCTCGGCTCGACCCCAAACGAGCCGAGCCGAGCCAGGCTCGGCTCATGCCCATGTCTATTTTATACGGTCAGTTTTTTTCAGTAATTTTGGAAAAAAAAACGCGGTTTTTTTAATATAACATCGTTTTTTTGTTTGTTTTAGAAAGCCTAAACGCTTGCCGGATCCGCGCATTTTGCACCCCGAAATGCGAGATCCCAGCATCTCGGCGGGCAAAACGCCAGATCCGCGGATTTCGGCGGGCGAAATGCCAGATATCCTAGCATTTCGTTCGCCAAAACGCGAGTTCCCGCACATTTTGGGGGTCAAAATGCCAGATCCGCGCATTTCGGCAGGCGAAATGGCAAATCCGGACGTTTTGCAGGTTTTTTTTTTTTTTTTTTTTTTTTTTTTTTTGTGTGTGGAAAAATGCGGCCGTTTTTTTGCACCTTGTGAGATGACCCGCCAGGTGAGATGACGCGCCAGGTGAGATGACGCGCCAGGTGAGATGATGACCCGCCAGGTGAGATGACCCGCCAGCCAGGTGAGATGACCCGCCAGCCAGGTGAGATGACCCGCCAGGCGAGATGACTCGCCGGGTGAGATGATGACCCACCAGGTGAGATGACCCGCCAGGTGAGATGACCCGCCATGGCCCGCCAGGTGAGATGACCCGCTAGGTGAGATGATGACCGGCCACCAGGTGAGATGACCCGCCAGGTGAGATGATTCGCCAGGCGAGATGACCCGCCAGGTGAGATGACCCGCCAGGTGAGATGACCCGCCAGTAAGCCTGCAAACAAATATCACTGGTTTCGGATTCGTATTCGGTATTCGACAAATATAAAATACAGAACGAATCTGACATCCTGAAGCTATTCGACACTCAAATATTCGCAAGTTCCGAATATTCGACACTCAAATATTCGATATTCTGGAAAATATTCGTATTCGTGTGAGTCTACCATACATCTCCCCGACTCCCCTTTCCTCTCAAAATCGGCAGCGCAGTATAAGCGAAATCGGTGAAATCTGCAGGTTACGCTATTGGCTGATTGCGGCCTCCATAAAACCAATCAATCGTGGACAAAAACGAAAACAGGATTCTTGAGCATGACATGTTGTTCCATAAATAACCTGCCAGAATCACTTGGACAATATGCCAGGAGTGGAAGTGATTGGGGAGGGGGGTAATAGACTATCAAGGTTAGAGGGGCTATTTCTATCTTGGTCTTCGGTGGGAAGCCCTAGAAGACACTCGAAACCCTGTTCTGACCGCCTATTCATATTCGATTCCGTATTCGTCGTCAAACACAATATTCAAACTGTATTTGTATTCGAATAGGAAGTGGTATTCGATCAAGTACGAAAACACACAAGTATTCGACAAATACTTTTTTTTTCCTGCCGTATTCGATACTGTATTCGTTTTTGCAGGCTTACCCGCCAGGTGAGATGACGTGGCAGCTAATGCAGGATTGTGTGTGGGATCGCAAGGAAAACTTGATCGGTTATGGGCTGCATATTGCATGCTTCCATGCTTGCTTGCTTGCATGCGTATACCATCTAGTTCCATCACCTTACCTCATCTTTGTAGCTTCTTTCTTACCATTGCCCACGCCCCTGTGCCGTCCATCCAGCCGTGACACCTGTCAGCATCTGGTTGGCTCGTGCCCTCCACTGGCCCGTAGCTGTGTGTCCGCGCCTCTACTCCCTCGCTGCTGCCACGCCACCCCTCACCCTCAACGCCTCTGGTGCGTGCTCTTGCGTGCACTGCCAGCACCTCATGCGCGCGCTGCCAGCAGCTCATGCACTGGCAGCAGCTCACGCACTGGCAGCAGCTCATGCACTGGGCAGCAGCTCATGCACTGGCAGCAGCTCATGCCCTGGCAGCAGCTCATGCACTGGCAGCCGCTCATGCACTGGCAGCAGCTCATGCACTGGCAGCAGCTCATGCACTGGCAGCAGCTCATGCACTGGCAGCAGCTCATGCACTGGCAGCAGCTCATGCACTGGCAGCAGCTCATGCACTGGCAGCAGCTCACGCACTGGCAGCTCATGCACTGGCAGCAGCTCATGCACTGGCAGCAGCTCATGCACTGGCAGCAGCTCATGCCTTGCGAATCTGTTTGAAGCATGGCTCTCAGCCTCTCACACATGACTCACACCACTTAGGGTGATGCCCTGTGTGTGGGGGGAGTGATGCCCCGTGTGTGGGGGGAGTGATGCCCCGTTGTGGGGGGGGAGTGATGCCCCGTGTGTGGGGGGAGTGATGCCCCGTGTGTGGGGGGAGTGATGCCCCATGTGTGGGGGGAGTGATGCCCCGTGTGTGGGAGGAGTGATGCCCCGTGTGTGGGGGGAGTGATGCCCCGTGTGTGGGGGGAGTGATGCCCTGTGTGTGGGGGGTGATGCCCGTGTGTGGGGGGAGTGATGCCCCATGTGTGGGGGGAGTGATGCCCTGTGTGTGGGGGCATCACTCTTTCATTCTTCCTCTCACAATGCTCTCGTTTCTTTTCATGTATATGTGTACCTGCGTTAGTGTTTGTGTGTGTGTGTGGACGTGTGTGTGCTTGTGAATGTGTGCTTGTGCACATGTGTTTATGTTGTGTGTATGTGTGGGCGTGTGTGTGTGTGCGCGTGTGTGTGCGTGTGTGCGTGTGTGTGTGCATGTGTGTGTGTATGTGTGTGTGTATGTGTGCGAATGTGTGTGTATGTATGTGTGTGTGTGTGTGTGTGTGTGTCTGTGTGTGCGTGCATGCGTGTGTGTGTGCGTGGGCGCGTGCATTCGTGTGTGTGTGCATGCGTGCGTGTGTGTATGTGCGCGTGCGTGCGTTAGTGGTGTGTGTGTGTGTGTGTGTGTGTGTGTGTGTGTGTCTGTGAATGTGTGCTTGTGCACGTGTGTGTGTGCACACTCGTGTGTGTGCGTGTGTGTCTGTATGTATGTGTGTATGTGTGTGTGTATGTGTGTGTGTATGTATGTGTGTGTGTATGTGTGTGAGCATTGTTTGTATGTGTGTGTTTGTCTGTGTGCGTGCGTGTGTGCGTGCGTGCATGCGTGTGCGTGTGTGTGTGCGTGTGTGTGGGTGTATGCATGCGTGTGCGTGTGTGCATGCGTGCATGTGTGTGCGTGCGTGTGTGTGTGCGTGTGTGTGTGTGTGCACATGCGTGCGTGTGCGTGTGTGCGTGTGTGCATGCGTGTGTGTGTGGGTGTGCATGCGTGTGTGTGTGCGTGCGTGCATGCGTGTGTGTGCGTATGTGTGTGCGTGCGTGCGTGTGTGTGTCTGGGTGTGTGGATGCATGCATGTGTGCATACGTGCGTGCGTGTGCATGCGTGCATGCGTGTGTGTGTGTGCATGCGTGCGTGTGTGTGTGTGGTGTGTGTGCGTGTGTGTGAGTTGTGTGCGGTGTGGTGTGTGCATGCGTGCGTGTGTGTGGCGTGTGTGTGTGTGCATGCGCGTGTGTGTGTGTGCATGCGTGCCGTGTGTGCGTGTGTGTGTGTGCGTGTGCGTATGTGCATGCGTGCGTGTGTGTGCGTGTGTGTGTGTGCATGCGTCCGTGTGCGTGTGTGTGTGTGCATGCGTGCGTGTCTCACATCTCCCGCCAGGCCTGGCAGCAGCGAGGGAAGCGCACCGGGAGGTGGAGGAGCGGGTGAGGAACGCGAGGAGCCGCGCCAAGGTGCTGCGAGACAAGCTGAAGCGCGACTATGGTGAGACAAGCTCAAGCGCGACTATGGTGAGTCAAGCTCAAGCGAGACTATGGTGAGACAAGCTCCAGCGTGACTATGGTGAGCGGCACCATGGGTGGGCTGTGAAGGGTGTGGGTGTGGTGGAGGGCGTGATTAAGGGTGTAGAGGAGTACGAGTACATATAGGAATGCTAGAGGCGAATAATTGTCGAATGTTTGCCAAATTGGTGTTTGTTAAAAAAATTCTAGGCCTTTTCCAAATACGAAATTCCATGCAAAGGTGGCAAATACGGTTTAAATACAAAGGTTCTCAAACGTTTTATTTCAATTGTAGGCTTACATAAAATATTGTTCATTTTTTAGTGTGGTGAGGTGTGTGACGTGTTGAGGGGTGTGACGTGTTGAGGGGTGTGACGTGTTGAGGGTGTTAGTGTGGTGAGGGGTGTGTGACGTCATGTGTTACCCATAAGCAGACCAGCGCCCTCGCTTGCCACGGAAACATGCACGCGACCTGCATGGGTCCCACATGTGACATGCACGCGACCTGCATGGGTCCCTCTCACATGTAACATGAGTGGCAGAGAGGCATGAGTGCCTCATCTGGTTGCCTCTGATGCGCTTGTCTCATGTGCCAGCTGATGCGCTTGTCTCATGTGCCAGGATCTAGGGTTGCCTTTCTTTGTGCTACTCTAGCCTCAGAAGCAACCAGAGAATGTTTCAAGAAGTGAATGAAGGAGGAGGTGACTCTTCTCAATGCTAGCATTGTTGCAATGGCATCGTTGCATCCCTTCCTCATCTTCCCATGCCCGTCGACCCCCGTTGCCCCCTCAGGCCCTCACGGGGAGTTCTCCAACCTCGTGGACCGCTGCTTCTCCTTCCCCGCCAACCAGTGAGAGCCCATGCTGCATTTCTCCCTCCTGCTCTCCAGATCGCTTCTCTTCCCTTCCTTGCCACGTGCACTACCTTGCTCCTTTCCCCTGCCCTTCTGCACCCATCTTGCCCTTCTGCATCCATCTTGCCCTTCTGCATCCATCTTGCCCTTCTGCATCCATCTTGCCCTTCTGCTTCCATCTTGCCCTTCTGCATCCATCTTGCCCTTCTGCTTCCATCTTGCCCTTCTGCATCCATCTTGCCCTTGTGCATCCATCTTGCCCTTGGGCATCCATCTTGCCCTTGTGCATTCATCTTGCTCTTCTGCATCCATCCTGCCCTTCTGCATCCATCCTGCCCTTCTGCATCCATCCTGCCCTTCTGCATCCATCTTGACCTTGGGCATCCATCTTGCCCTTGTGCATCCATCTTGCCCTTGGGCATCCATCTTGCCCTTGTGCATCCATCTTGCTCTTCTGCATCCATCCTGCCCTTCTGCATCCATCCTGCCCTTTTGCATCCATCCTGCCCTTCTGCATCCATCCTGCCCTTCTGCATCCATCCTGCCCTTCTGCATCCATCTTGCCCTTGGGCATCCACCTTGCCCTTGTGCATCCTGTTGTAAAATATATATCTATACAACATGCATGCCTAGATTAGGAGGTGTAGTCATTATAATTATTGGGGGTTGTTGGTTGGGTTGACCAACCCCACATTTGGGTTGGTCAAGATTGGATTTGGTCCTAGACATTTGGTTGGCACTATTCCAACCAAATGGTCCTTGGTCCTAGGAACCAACCAATCACCAAGCACCACACTTTGTGGTTGCTTGCCTTCCAAGCAATCTCTCTCATTGGTCCACATTATGGCCAGTCGGAGAGCACAACACTTTGTGGTTGCTTGCCCTACAAGCAACCTCTCCCATTGGTCCACTTTATGGCCAATAGGAGAGCTTCCCTTCCAAACTCTTCCTTGCTCCTTGTTTTGTACAAAAGAGCCTCTTGGCTCCCTACTCAATTCAATATTTTCTCTTCCAAGCTAGTTGCTTCACATCCATCTTGCTCTTGTGCATCCATCTTGCCCTTGTGCATCCATCTTGCCCTTCTGCATCCATCCTGCCCTTCTGCATCCATCTTGCCCTTGTGCATCCATCCTGCCCTTGTGCATCCATCCTGCCCTTGTGCATCCATCCTGCCCTTGTGCATCCATCTTGCCCTTGTGCATCCATCTTGCTCTTGTGCATCCATCTTGCCCTTCTGCATCCATCCTGCCCTTCTGCATCCATCTTGCCCTTCTGCATCCATCTTGCCCTTGGGCATCCATCTTGCCCTTGTGCATCTTTCTTGCCCTTGTGCATCCATCTTGTGCGCCGCCCTTCTTCTCCCTGTCATGCCTTCCCTCCGTCAGCCTTGCTCCACCAAAAATTCCTCGTCCCTCGCTATGCACTTGCTGTGCGCAATGAGAAGCAGATGATACATGCTCTCCCCTCTCGTCCCTGGGGGGCACTCGCCAGGTACACGTACGAGATCTGCCCGTACAAGAAGGTGGTGCAGAAGGAAGGGCACTCTGAAACCACCATTGGGTGAGTGCTTGTGGTGACATGGTGATGGCATGGTGGCACCAGACCTGTGGGCGGGATGGGACGAAAGTATGAAGAAGATGGGCAAGTGCACGATGGGACAGAGGGCTCGTACACAGTTGGACAGCTTCAACTGCCATGGTGCTAGCATAGAGCTCCACGTAGCTAGTGGAGAGAGCAGTCGCGCAGGAGGTTGTGGCGTGCAGTGCAGCTGATAATTCGACACACAAGCGCGTGAGGATGCTGGTGGGGTGCGCTAGGTCAGGGCGTCCACAAGTCAG